AAAAAAAAAAAAAAAAAAAAAAAAGATGTTTAAATCCCAGCAGTCTGGTAGGCAGAGGCAAGAGGATCACAAGTTCAAACCCAAACTGTGCAACTCAACAACTAAGTGAGAAAACTTGTCTCAAGATTTAAAAAAAAAAATTAAAGGCCAGGAATACAGTTCAGTGCAAAGGCCCTGGGCTCAATCCTTAGTACATCATTTTTTTTTTTTAATTTTTTTGAGAAGCAGGAGAATGTGCAGTAGATGGTGACATCTTCCTCCGTTGCACCGCACAGACCATCAGGAAAGAGGTGAGGCGTCTCGCTGCACCCCATGGAGGACAGAGACTGCCTCAGAGCCCAATCTGGGGGGCCCTAGAATAAGTCAGGGCTTTGTGGCACGTGGCTTTAAGGTCCGTGTGGGTTTCAGCAGTGGCGGTGACTCAAAGGCCATCCCGCTGTCTCTCCGCATGCATCATGGGCAGAGAGCTCAGATGGATGGGGAGCACAGAGGCTGGGTGATGGAGAGACCACAGCACCCCACGTTTGGTGAGCCCATCCCGGGAAAGAGCTCGACTGCAATCCTGCATGGGTGGCAGCCGGTGACTGTCCCCGAGTGGAAGGCAGGTGCTGTAGCAGGACTTGGATGACGAATAGGGAAAGACTCAGCCACAGTGCGCCAGTCAGCTCCTGCTTAAGAAGGGGCTCAGGCGTGACACTTAGTGGTAGAGAGTTTGGCTGGCATGTGCAAGACCCTGGGTTACATCTCTAGTACTGCAAAGGACAAACAAAGGAAAAAGTGTCCTTGTCTGGGCACAGTGGCACATACCTATAATCCCAGATACTTGGGAGGCTGAGTCAGGAGGATCCCAAATTCAAGCCTAGCCTGGGCAACTTAGTGGATCCTTGTCTAAAAAAAAAAAAAAAAAAAAAAACGCTGAGTACAGGGGCACACATCTCTAATCCCAACACTTAGGGAGATTGAAGCAGGAGAATTACAAGTTCAAGTCCCACCAGGGCAACTTAGCAAGACCCGGTCTCAAAATTTGAAAATTTCTAAAAAGCCCTGGGATGTAGCTCAGTGGTAGAGCACCCCCAAGTTTGATTACCCAGTACCACAAAACAGATAGAAAATTTTAAATACTGAGGATGCACCCCAGTGATAGAACAGCCCTGGATTCAACACTTAAGACTGCAAAGAAAAGAAAAGAAAATTCCTTTGGTTTCCTGTGACCAAGATAATGAATCCAAATGCCAGTGAGCTCAACTTGAGAAACATGTGAAGGGAGAGAATTTAGGACTCTTCCGGGGACACTTTTACTAAGTCCAGGGGCCTTGCGGACAAGGGTTCAAGTGTGGTCTTGAAATAGCATGCCCAACGGAAAGGATATTTTCTCTGTGATGCTTTGGTGACCTGATAGGCTGGAGTAGGAAACAAAAACTAAAATGTCTCTCTGCTTCCCTTTTTCTCTCTCTTTTTTTTGGTGGGGGGGTGTCCCGGGGATTGAACTCAGGACCTTGCACTTGCAAGGCAGGCGGCAACACCACTGAGCTAAATCCCCAGCCCTCTTTTCCTCTTTTTCATGATGCTGGAACCCAGGACCTAGTGCGTACTAGGCAGGTGCTTTACTGCTGATCCACATCCCCATCCCTGAAAGTCTTATTTCTAAGCCTAAAAAAGTCTTTAACACTGGACGGCTTCAAATGGCCAGGAAATGGTATTACCCTTTCTTGTTATCTTGTGGAATTCAAGGTCCAAATCTTGTGGGGACCTTGGAGGCAAAAACTGGAGAACGGGACAAATGAAGGTAGCCACACAGGCTGGGTATGATCTCCCCACGGGAACAAACACTTCGCAGTTGTGGACTGCTTGATGGACACAGCACGGGATTAGAAACTGTTCAATTGTAAAGTAATATTCCCAGAGCTAAGGTCTGGAACATGGCTACACAGTACCTTTCTGAGAATACTGGGGTAACTGAGGCCTTTTAAACAGCTCTGGTTGGATTTATGATTCCTGAGGCAGGAAATTGGGGGGATGTCTATTTTAGGTCAGTGAAGAAACAGTCTGTTCTCTTGAGCCTTGCAGACAGCGCCTCCCTAGCCGTGGGTAGTCCCCTCGAGGGTCTGTGCAGACCATTTCTGAACTGAGTGCCAGAGAGGAACCTCTGCCTCCTTTCTTTCTGCTGCGCTATCACGTGAACACTGCTTGCCTTAACCTCCCTCAACGCCCAGCCACGCCTCCGTCGCCCAGAGGGTCTGCAGGCCTGGGCCTCCCTTCCTCTCCCTGTGCTGCGGCTGGAAACCACAGCAAGGCAGTAAACTGAGGAAATGGAAAGGCTCATGTTTGTCTCACAGCCTCTTGGTGCTTTCTGTCCTTCACTGGCTGATACCCAGGGTCTACAAGGCTGCTGTATTGTAATTGTTGGTCTTTGTTTTAGTTTGGTTTTTTGGTTGTCATACAGAAGGGTAAAGCTCTGTTTTCCATTATTAATTTTGTGGGGGGGGGGTTGAGACAGGGTCTTACTATGTAGTTGAGATTGACCTGGAACTCACTATGTAGCCCAGGCTGGTCTCGAACTCACAGCAATCCTCCTGCCTCAGCCTCCCGAGTGCTGGGATTACAGGCATGCACCACCACACCCGGCTTCTCTGTCCTGTATGAAGGAAATGACACATTTGATGGCATTTGCACATGTGCAGATTCTCAAAAACCCAAGGATGTCCAGGTCTTTTTTATTTTTAATGTCAGCTTCACTTAAGAAGGCAGTGTTTTTATTCAAGGGCCCTAAATCCTCCTAATCAGCTATCAGATCTTCTTCCTTTCCACTCTTACAGTATTTTTGACTTGTAGTGACTGATTTCCTTCTTCTTGTTCAACCAGGGCTCAGAAACAGCAGTAGGAGTTTCCAAGCGCAAAATGCAGTCTTCCTTAACAAGTGACCTCATTTCAAGTGGGGTCTCCACCAAATATGCAAGTACTGACCACATTCCAGATTCCGCTGGTGGACCGGGTCAGGCCTTACCAGGATCCAGTGCCACAGGCCACCTCTTTGAAGCAATCGCTATCAGGGATCGGAGCAAAGGCTCCTTCATTCCCGGTAGAGAACAGCACCCAAGGGCCCATGATGAAGCGAACACGTCAAGATTCTATCAGCCTCCTGTAGCCCAATTTAGAACAGAGTCCGATCCCCACAGGAGTAGAGAACGGTTTACTTCAGGGTATCCAAGAAGAGAAATGCACACCAGCCCCACTCAACAAGAGTTACCCTGGGCCAGAGATCAGCCCAGTGGCCAGGGTCAAGTCTACCTAAGGCCTGATCATCAAGAACTAGGACTGCCTGGCATGGATCAGCTGGGCCCGCTGTATCCTGGCCCTATACCACCGGATGTGCTTCCCGTGAGTGCAGGTCAGCTTGGTACACTGCCACCTCAAATGGATGGTCAGGGATTGGTACCACTCAGTATGGATCAGCATGGGGTGGTGCCACCATCGGTACCTGGCAGAGATCATCAAGGATCAGGACTACCTAGTGCAGATGAGCTTAGTATGGTTCCACTCGGCCCATATCAGTATAGCTTGGTACTTCCTGGCACAGACCAATGTAGTACAGAACAGCCTGGCATGCAGGACAGTGATGTAAGACCACATGGCACAGATCAGCATGGATTTGTAATATTGGGGATGGATCAACAAGGGCTGGTCCCTCCTGCTGGGGATCAGCAAGGCCCGGAATCTTCCGACATACAACAACGTGGACTGTCTCCAGCTCCGGTAGAGAGACGTGGTTTGGTATCACCTGGCTTGATTCGAGTTCGTGCAGATCAACAAGGCTTTTTGCAGCCCCATGTGGAAGCATCTGGCTTTATACAACCTGGTACAGAGCAGCAGGATTTGATTCAGCCTGACAGAGATCACAGTGCTTTGGGGCAGCCTGGTACATATCAGCCTGGTTTGGCCCAGCCTGGGGCGGATCAGCGTGGCTCGGCCCAGCCTGGCAAATACCCACCTGGTTTGGTACAACCTGGTAAAGATCAAGATAGTTTGGTCCAACCTGGAGTGGATCAGCACGGGTTGGTACAACCCAGTGCGGTTCAGCATGGCTCGCCACAGCCTGGTGTAGCTCAGCTTGATGTGGCACAGCAAGGTGCAGATCAGCGTGGGTCGATCCACCCTGAAGTGGGTCGCTACGATCTCATGCAGCCTGGTGCATACCCACCTGCTTGGGCACAGGCTGGTGCAGATTCAAGTAGATCGGTCCAACCTGGTATAGGTCAACACAGTTTGGTGCAGCCTGGCATGGATCAGCGTGTTTTCGTGCAACCTGGTGCAGTTCGGCATGGCTTGGTGCAACCCGGGCAGGGTCAGTTTGGAATGGGACGACCTGGCATGGATCAGCGTGCTTTAGTGCAACCTGGTGCCAGTCAGCGTGGTTTGGCACAGCCTGGTGCAGGTCAAATTGGCGTGGTACCTCCTGGAACAGACCAGCATGGCTTGGCACAGCCCACTATAGATCAACATGGCCTGGCACCACCTGGTGCAGATCAGGGTGGTTTGGCGCCACCTGGTGCAGAACAACGTGATTTGGCGCCACCTGGTGCAGATCAGAGTGGTTTGGCACAACCAGGAGCAGAGCAACATGGCTTGGTGCCACCTGGTGTTAATCAGCGTGATTTGGCGCCACCTGGCACAGGGCAGTTTGGTGTGCTGCAGCCTGGAATCGGTCAGCCTGGGGCAGATCCTCAAGGCCTGGTCCAACCTGGTACGTATATGCCTGGTGTGGCTCAACCCACTGCATACCCTCCTGGTTTGGCCCAATTAGGTGTATATCCACCTGGTTTGGTGCCGCCTGGTGCCTATCAGCCTAGTTCATTCCAATCTGGTGTCTCGCCTCATGGTTTGGTTCAACCTGGTGCCTACCCATGTAGTTTGGTGCAACCCGGAATGGATCAGCGTGGTTGGAGACAACCCAGTTCAGATCAGCAAGGCTTAACAGTACAAGGCACGGAGTTGTGGAGATTTCCACCATTCCAGGCAGATTTGAGGAGCTTGAGATCACCTCACCCATACCCATATCCGCCCAGTGTGGTACCTCCTGGACAAGAGCAGCCTGGTTGGTTCTCACCATTCCTAGCTAGTCAAGGCTTGTTGTCACCACATACAAACACACAGGGTCTGGTACCAGCAGAAATCCGTCAGCAGGGTTTGGTGCGTCCTGGCGTGGACCGGCAGAGCCCAGCACCATTAAGCACAGATAAGGGATCTGTGCACCCGGACCAACAGTATCTGGTATCACCTGGCCCGGATCAGCAAAGCCAGACATACCCAGGTGCAGTTCAGCCTGGTCAAGTACATCCTGTCTGGGACCATCACGGGCCAGGGTATCCGGGCTATGGTGGCCCAGGGGCCACGGGTGCTGATCCACGTGGCCAGGTAGCTTTGGATCCAAACAGGATTTCTAACTTTGCTGCTCAGACTGAGCCAGACCAAGATGCCACCCGCTTCAGGAGTCGAGACTCCCTTAGTTTTCTCCACCAAGTCTCATCAGAAAAAAGTGGGACCCAGAGTGAGCGACATGATTCACTGGAGAAACTGGCTCCTAACTTCCCCATAGCCTTGGAAACATTTCGCCTGATGGGAGAGCTCATCGGGCTCTATATGGAGCTGAAGGAAAGTCTGAAGGATCTGGATGAGGAGAAATCTGGTCAGACTGATGCGGAGAAGATACAGTACCTATTCACACAGATGGGTGAGAGACCATCGTCCCGCCTTAAGTGGGTGTGACCCTTTCCAACCCCAGCTGCTGCACACCTTCCTGAGTCCCTGAGAATAGCATGTCCGTTCTTAGACCTTCTGGGCTCTCCCACAGCCTTCAGGGTGCACGCAAACAGATAGGCAAGGCAGAAACTAAATTAGTAAGAGCGAAGCAGACTCCTGCCTTTGTCAGAGGAGCTGCCTGGCCAGTGAGTACCTGGGGAGGGAAAACAGTAACATTGGGAGGTGGGTAGGAAGAAAGAGAGCCGAAGAGTGAAGCTTAACATTTACCCATCGCAGCTCTAGGCCCTGAGGGTAATTCAGATTTTAGTGGTGGACGAAGTGGTGAGTCAGTGGTCACAAGACCCTTTAGGACCCCAAGCAGTCGGTGGCTTTGTCCCAGTCACCAAGAAGGCAGGATGAACTGACATGTGTGCTGTTCTCTGGGGTCACCTCATTGCTGGGGGCTGGAAATGGAGATTGGGAGCCCGCTGAGACTCCGACCCTTCTGACAGTATGGTATCCATTCTCCATAGTCAAGAAGATCCTACCCCCTGACCTGCAGGAGCAGATGAAGACCATAAAGGCTCTGGCCAAAGAAGTTCATCAGGAGAAGGCAAAAGTATGTGAGGGAAAGTCAGCCTCCTCGGCCTTGTAGGGCGAATCCCAGCCCTTTCCATCCATGCCTTGCTAAGTCCTTCACCCACTGCCGTCTCGCTGGGTCTCTGCCCCGTCGGTTAGGAGATGCACCTGGGTATCGTCGTGTCCATTTCCCAGGTCTTAAAACAGACACCCAAAGCCGTTAGCTCACAGGTGAATGTACTGTTGCCCCCAGTTTGGGACTTTCTGGAGTTAGAGGGCCAGATCTTCAGTCGTTCTCAACACTAGCTATCTGCATCTGTGAGACAGGAGGGCGGGTAAGGTTCAGAGCAGAGGAGAGGGGCTCATTTGGGGTGGAAGATCTGGGAGCAGGGAGCAGGGACTGGGCCTGCCTGATTCTCCTCTTCCACTGGGCTTGCAGGTAGAAAAGATGCAAAGGATCCTGGAGGGTGACGGCGAGCAGGTAGCAGGAAAGGAGCTGAAGGCTGGTCAGCTAGGCCTGCAGCTAGGCCTCCTCAGGTGACAGACGCATCCCACCCTGAGCAGCTGCTGTACTGGCGGCGCCCTCTCAGATCGGGAGGTGGTGGCAGCCTTCGGTTCCCTCATGCCCTGGACGGACCTCGCCTTGGACCCGGGTCATGCCTGCTCCTCAGGCTGCCCACGTCTCATGCAGGGAACTGGTGGAAGCTCTGCTACACCAGCTCGGCACCAGGCTGGGAGGAGCGAGCTCCTCTGTATGCTGTCCCCAGTGGGAGGCAGACAAGGCCACCTGCATGCGCCCCTCCTGTCCCACTGTCTAGCAGCCTCTGGGCGGCACCCTGGATGCCCCTTTGGGGACAGGAGCAGGGCCCAGGACTCCCAAGACAGGGCTGCCAGGGGTGGTGTGCCCCATCCTTGTCCTGCCCCCCCACACCACAGCTAGGGGTCTGCGCCACCAGGCTGGGGTCTCTGGGCTGGCAGTGAGCCAGGCAGTGTCTTAAACGTCACAGGATCACCATAACTGACATTGAGAAGGAGCTGGCTGATCTGAGGGACAGTCAGGAGCAAGGCAAGGCCGCCATGGAGAATTCGGTGGCCGAAGCCTCCCTGTACCTACAGGATCAGGTGAGGACTGGGCACATTGGCTGCAGGTGGTGGGCAGGGCCTCTTCCTGCTCAGAGACCAGGCCCCCATGGGCGTGTGTGGGGCGGGGGGCAACTGTGACTAACACTCGGGCCCTCCAGATGCCAGGCCGGCTCTGAGGCCTAGGGCAAGGGCCTTCCCTGTGCAGGGGAACGAAGCCTCTGCCCCTCTCACCGAGTCTGTTTTCATTCTATGGCTTCCATATCATACCCTTTTTGAACACGATCACGGCAATTTCAGTGCATTCACAAAGTCGTATAACCATTACCTCGCCCCAGTTGTAAGACGTCTCTTCACCACAAACAGGAGGCCTGTACCTCTTAGCAGTCACTCACCCCCAACCCTCCCCAGCCCCCGACGACCACTCCTCTTCTCTGTCTCTGTGTATTGGCCCCTCCTAGACATTTTTCTGAAGGACATGAAATCTCACAATGTATCACCTTCTGAATCTGGCTTTTCACTTAGTCGTGTTCTCGCGTCCAGGCATGTTGTAGGATGTATCAGTTACTTCGCTTCCTTTCTTTTTCCTTCTTTTCTTTCTCCTTCCTTCCTTCCTCCCTCCCTCTCTTCTTTCTTTTGCAGTACTGAGGATAACTGAACCTCAGGCCCACCCCGGACCACAGCCACTCCCTCTGTCTTCCTGTGGCCTGGTTTTGTGCACATCTGTGTCCTTCCTGCATCATCCCTTGTAGCCTCTCACACCTCTCTGCCACCCCACCCTCAGCCAGCTTGCCTGTCTTGCACACGGGACCCCAGGAGGCTGTGCGGAGCCTTTCAGCTTCATTACCCAGACCAAGACAAGTGGGTACAGGTCGGTCACACTCCTCTCTTCAAGCCAGGAAAAGGATCCTTGGCCGGGCCATCAGCAGCTGGGATCCATCCCGAGCAGCAGCTCACTGGGACCGGATGCACAGCAGAGCAGGAGAACCAGGCCGAGCCGCTCTCCCAGGGGGACGCTTGCAGCCCTTGGGCCCCGAGAGACCCCTGCAGTGCTGTGTGCTTGTCAGATCCCTTGCTAGTTGTGCACACATTTGGTGGGACAGCGCGTGCGCATGTCCACCGCTCACAGCCCAGTGCTCGAGCAGAGCCTGAGTGTTTACAGCTGGCGTGGACAGCACACAGCTGTGACCTACCCACAGCCCCGCCCCTCCGTCTCTCCTGCTCAGTTAGACAAGCTCAGGATGATCATCGAGAGCATGCTGGCCTCCTCCTCCACACTGCTGTCACTGAGCATGACCCCACACAAGCCCCTGACCGTGTTGGCACCCGGCCAGATTCACCCCGAGGCCACCTGCCCAGCCTGCAGCTTGGACCTGAGCCACCAGGTCAGCACGCTGGTGCAGCGCTACGAGCAGCTGCAGGAAATGGTCAGCAACCTGGCTGCCTCCCGGCCCTCCAGGAAGGCCAAGCTTCAGAGCCAGGTGGGGCTGCGCTCCCCTACCTCCTGGGGCAGCCAGACACAGTCCCCAGGGGAGGTGGTGGTTGACTGCACTCCCCAGGGAGACGTCTTCGGTCTTGAGGGTTGGTTTCTCATTATGGTGCCCTTTAGCCAGATCCCACAAAAGTCTCTGGTCCCTGCCAGGCCTGGTGGCAAATCCCTGTCATCCCAGCACTCAGGAGGCTGAGGCAGGAGGATCACTAGGAGTTCACAGCCACCCTGGGCTACTTAGTGAGTTCAAGACCAGCATGAACTACATAGCGAGACCCTATCTCAAACAAAACAAAACAAAACAAAGTCCCCAATCCTTCCACAGTGAGGGTAGCAGCAGAACTAGCTCTGGCCACAGGAAACCGTGGGAAGAACTGGCCCAGGAGGTGGGTGGAATGGTGCCACATGACACAGGGACTGAGGCACAGTTGCTGGAGAAAATGGACTCACCTGGCCAAACCCATCTTCCCAACCCCTTCCTGATTTCCTCCAGAGAGCGTGCCAGTGGGGAAGGGGAAAGCCACAGTCCCTGGGTTCTGCCTCCTGGACTCAGGAATTCAGATCCGGCTCATGGAAGGTGGGGAGATTATAGCCCACACCCCAACTCTCAAGGCCACAGGACCCTGAGCCTCGATCCCCTCTACTGATCAGCCACAGGTCCTTTGAGGCCAGTCCAGAAGGACGTGGGGGATCGATACTTTCATCCTACCAGGGATACAACTATTAATGGGAAACTGAGTGCCACTGAGGCAGGAGTCTGAAGTGAGCTTCTCTGTTGGGCAGTGTTTTAAGGGACAACTCGTTAGGGGGCCACCTAGTGGTCACCCAGCAGCCTCACGGTGCCTTCCCTGTCCAGGATGAGGAGCTGCTGGGCCACGTGCAGAGCGCCATCCTGCAGGTGCAGGGCGACTGCGAGAAGCTCAACATCACCACCAGCAACCTCCTCGAGGACCATCGGCAGAAGCAGAAAGACATTGATGTGAGTGATCAGTGGGCTGAGGCTCGGCCCGCCCAGCCCGCCGCTCAGCTGCAGACTCTCAGGCACCGCTTGCTTGGCCCCCAGGTGCTGTACCAGGGCCTGGAGAAACTCGAGAAGAATGCCAACAGGGAGCACCTGCAGATGGAGATCGACGTGGTGAGCGCCAGCTGGGAGCCACCTGTCCCGGGGGTCTGGCCAGCCAGAGGGGTAGGGACTGGGTGTGGAGGATGCAGGCTCATGGAAAGCTGCTCGGCAACAGGGGTTAACGCCTGGGGCGAGGGCCCTGCTGCGGCTCTCTCCCAGCTGGGCCTCCCCACCCCTTCTCCGGGCAGAAAGCTGACAAGAGCGCCCTTGCGTCCAAAGTGAGCCGGGTCGAGTTCGATGCTGCCACAGAGCAGCTGAACCACATGATGCAGGGGCTCATGGCCAAGCTGAGTGGGCAGGAGCGGGACTGGCAGAAGTTGCTGGACAAGCTCCTGGCAGAGATGGACATGAAGGTGAGGGCAGCCTCCGCTGCTAGGGCCCTGCCAGACCCCACCTGCCGCCTTGGCGCTCACCTGTGCCCACCCCCAGCTGGACCGCCTGGAGCTGGACCCAGTGAAGCAGGCGCTGGAGGATCGGTGGAAGTCGCTTCGGGAGCAGCTCAAAGAGCACTCTCCCCTCTACCAGGCAGATGAGGCAGCCGCCATGCGGAGGTGAGGACCAGAGGTCCACGGGGAGGCTGGCGTGCCACGCTGGCAGGCAGGAGGGAGGCTGGGCGCTCCCAAAAGCTGCTCCGGCCAGTGCACAGCTGGGGCTGCCCCGGACTGCCCTACAATTGGAGGGCAGAGTTTAGAGCTGGAAGAGCTTCAGATGACAGTGGAGAAAAGGAGCAGGGAGGCAGAGGTTCTCTGGGCCTCTGGGACGGAGCCGGTGCAGGCCTAGAGCAGAGACAGCTCCTTGCGGGACCTGGCCTGCCCTGGGCTTGCGGCCCAGGAGTTCCACTCTTGGCCACCAGGGGGCCCCCGAGGCCTACAGAGGGCACCTTTGGGACCCTGGGAATCCCACCAGCCTTGGGTTGGGTGGTGAGTCCTCAGATTAGGAGCAGGTGAGTTTCAAGGACTCAGGGCTCAGATTTGCCACCCAGGTGGGCCAAACTTCCAACCTTCCAGCCTCTCACCTCAGTGCATCCATTCCTACAGACAACTCTTGGCTCATTTCCACTGCCTGTCCTGTGACCGACCTTTGGAGACACCTGTGACTGGACAGTGAGCGCCCCTGCCTCGCCCTAGGCATCTCGTCCATCCCCCCCTGCCTAGCCCCTTGCCCTCTTCCTCCTTCCTCTCTCCTGCTGTGTGCCAGGTGGGCCTTTCAGGCAGGTGGAACATGAGAATGGGGGGTGGATGATCTGGGTGACAAGAATTCTCAGTCTGACCCTCCCCTTCTCTCTGTGTCCCCGCCGAGAATCATCCCTGTGACCCCTGTGGGTCACCCCCTGCCTGGGCACCGGTCCACCCGCCCCTACACAGTGTTTGAGCTGGAGCAGGTCCGCCAGCAGAGCCGCAAGTAAGAGACAGTGGCATTGTGGGTAAAGCTACGGGTGGGAGGGCGGAGCAGACGGCCCTGGAGAGCACCGGGAGGAACACAGAGGGCCTCCTGGTTAGGCTGGGGGCCACTGGGCAGACTGCCTCCCGGTTCTTCCTAGGGTGGTAGCATCAGAAGCACCTGATGATAACCTGACCTTTAGGTCCCCTTTGAGTGTCCTGGGGGGACAATGCCAAGGGTCCTAGTTGTCTCTGAGAGCTCCTGGGCTGCACCTCCTCTCAGCAACCCTGGACCTAGAAAGGGACATCGCTCAGCTTGGTAGTGACACACCTCAGGGTCCTTCCGGCTCCTGCCCTCCTCTGGTACCCCAGTCCCCAAGGCTGTGGTTCACAGGAGAGTATGGCTCTTTGGGACCCTAGGGCTTCCAAGTGCATGGGGCCAGGTGTGTGATGGAGATGCAGAAGGTGGGACCGACCACAGCTCGGCCACCGCTCATCTGTACTTTGGCTCCTCAGAAAAACCTTCTCTGGCACCCAGCAGGGGTGCCTGGCCAGGGTTTTTGCCCCGGGGCAGAGCAGCCCAGTGACTCCCAGCCTAGCCGTACTGGCTATGTCCCCGACAGCCCCACAGACTGAGGGCCCGGAGCCAGAGGCCCAGGCCCACTTATCCCAAGTAAGGGAGTGGAATGCCTCAGGGTCTGTCCAACGCTGGGCTGACCTCCTTCTCTATGCTTGGGACCCACAGCCTCAAGCTGGGCAGCTGCTTCCCTCGGGGTGACCAGTCCCCGATGGAGCAGAGCGTGGGGCACCTGCGCACCATGCACTCCAAGATGCTGTTGGACATCGAGAAGGTGCAGATTCACTTCGGAGGCTCAGTGAAGGCCAGCAGCCAGATGATCCGAGAGCTGCGGCAGGCCCACTGCCTCAGCTCCCCCTGCTTCAAGCGGTAAGGGACGGCGTGGGGTGTGCAGGTCCCTGTCGCCTGAGCTTGGCTTCTGCCCACCCACAGCCTAGCGCTAGGTGTGTGCGCGTGTGTGCGGAGCACATGTGCAGGTGAGTGTGTGTGGTCCTTGGGAGGGCAGCCTCCAGGCTGCTCGGCTCACCCACACTCCCTGGGTCCACTGTTCCTCCCTGACTCCTGGAGACCCCTGAAGAGAGCCGCCCACTTCCCTGTGGACGGCCCCACCCACGGCACGCCCCGCTGACCCCAGGCTGTCTGCATCCCAGGGTGCCCGACTCTGCGGATTACACCTACTCAACCATGTCCCGGCGCTGCGGGGGCAGCCACACTCTCACCTACCCCTACCGCCGCAACCGCCTGCAGCACCCGTCCCAGGGCGCGTATGCCCCGGAGAACCAGATCGCCATGAAGGTCAGGGAGGAGGCCCCGGCATGCCCCATGCCCGATTCTGAGTCTTTCTGGAAAAACCACCAGAAATCACCTCCTCCAGCCCTCTGCCTTGAGGCAGTTTCTCAACCGTCCCCACTTTCAAGCCCCAGCCTTTCACCCGGTCTTGGGAAGGAGAATGAAATCCCAGCCACCTGCCCAGCAGGCACAATGCCTCCCACCACAGGCACCCCGAACGACACACACCCTCACCTTGTCACACAGCCTTGGTGTGGCCAGAGTGCCCGGGAGGGAGGTTTGTTGCTGGGAATAGGAGACAAGAGCGCCCTGAACCTGGGCCTTCCTGAGGCAGCACCAGAGGGAAGGCTCTGGGCGCGGCAGTGGTGATGGACCATCCACCTCCACAGCATGATGAGGTGGACATCCTGGGCCTGGATGGACATATTTACAAGGGACGGATGGATACGAGGCTGCCGGGCATCCTGACGAAAGACCGTGAGCACCCAGGTAGCCCAGAGGCCCTGCAGAGTCCTTGAGGGTTTCCTTGTAGGTCATGCCCTTCTTCTCTGTTCCTGCTCCAAAATGTTCACATGTCTCCAGAGGCACCCAGGTAAGTGTCTTCAGGGACAGGATGGCCGTCCGGCTCAGCTGATCACCTGGCATGTGGCAGCTCCGTCATTTCTTGCAGCCTTCGTCCTCAAGCCACTGCTGCCAGGCTTTCCCACCTTGGCCTCTGCTCACAGCATCGTCCCAGACAAGCTCTACCTATCCCTTCTTCAAAGCTCAGCAAGATGCCACACCGAAGCCCCCACCCCTTGACCCTCCTGCGCCCCGAATGCCCACTTCCGGGTCCCCATTCATTCCGGAAGCCCGCGTGCTACTTGTCATTTCCCATCACGCCTTACAGCCTTGCATGCAGCTTCCCCGCTGCCTCCCGTCCTGGGCTCGCCCGCGGCTGACATGCAGAGGTCCTCAGGGAACACCTGGGAGACGGGAGGGGGCCCAGACAGCCAAACGTACAAACTCAGACTGGCAGCCCTGCCTGCTCTATCCCCTTGGGTCCCCACAGAGCTCTCCCTTGGTTTCTCACAACTGACCCTGCCCACTGGTGTCCTCCTCAGCCTCAGGGATGATGAAGTACAAAGCCAAGCAGTGCCGGCCCCGTGGGAACAGGCAGCAGCCCCTCAGTGACAACAGCCAGCTGCCCTCTCGGCCTCAGAGCGCTCAGATGTTGGCCGGTAACAACTCAGGTAGCTTCCTCCTGGAGGGAGGGCCCCCCTTTCCAGCCTGTGCTGATTTATGCCTTTGAAGCCAAAGATGGAAAATCCAGCCACAGAGGGTCGGGCATGCGGGGTGGCTACTACTGCTGTCCCTTCACACAAGAAGACACAGGACGGGGTCACACCCAGGTCTCGGGCTCCAGGCCCAAGTCCTTCCCTGCTCACACATGTCCACTCTCCTGGGGCCAGTGCTCAGGAACTCGGGCGGAATGCTGTAGGCTCCTGGGGACCCCTCATCCTGACCCTGTCCTGGAGGACCTCCACCACCACCCCACGCCTGGAAAGCCCCTAGAGTCCCTGGACCCCTGGAGGCTTTGACCACACAAGGGCCTGGAGGCGGGATCGCTGCCAGGTGACTTAAGCCTCTCTGTCCTCAGGAGGGTGCACAGCTGGTGCTTCTCAGAGTCAGGGCACCAGGGCGAATTGAACACGGGGGAAGACCTCCCTCTTATAAAAAAGTCATGCAGACACGGTACCTGGCAGGTGCATGCAGGAGGCTCAGATCTCTTGGGGCCCGCGGTGCTCTGTGACTTCCTTCCACTCATGTCCAGTGAGAGCCTGTGGCTGAGGAGGGAAGAAGAGGAAATGGCACGTGGCCGTGGTGGCAGTGGTGTCTCACCTTCACGGGAGGCTTCTCACTGGTCAGGTGCAGTTTAGCAACTTTACACGGATAAACCAGTTTTAGTCCACATACCGACATCGGGAGATATGGACCACTGTTAGCCCTAGTTACGGCTGAGAAAACCGAGCAGAGAGAGGCTGAGGTACTTGCAGAAGGACACACAGCGAGGAAGTGGTAGACCAGGCTGGAATTCAAAGCCAAACTGTCCGGCCTCAGAGCCAGTGCTGGGAACCAAGGGAAATGGGCTGTGGGAGAGGTTGCAGTGCTTTTCCTTGGGGGGGGTCTCTCGCTTTGTCTCCTGGGCATCCCACTAAGTCTACTCCAAGGGCACTTAAAGTACAGAGGCGGGAGAGGAGGATGGGAGGCTTAGGAAAATCTGGGCCCGTCTGCGTCAGTGCTGCCTCAACAGTCCCGCATGTCAGCAGAAGACGCAGCACCCAAGTGGCTCCCGGCCCTTCCAGGAGGCTGTGTTTTCTCGCTGTTTGTCACTCACAAGGTTTACAAAGGCCTGTCTGCTCAGGCACCGATATACACACTCGCACTGTACACCCCAGTCTCTCAGCCTGACTGAAGGCCGCTCCCACCTCCGTGGGCTTCAGGCCCTTGTGAGCACCGGGAGGGAAGCCAGGGAGAATAGCCCGGACCTCCTGTCCTGCAGTTTCTTCACGGCAGCAGCAAGACAGACCTGTCTCCTCGGCGGTGGACCCTCTGGCCCAGTCCGACATGGCCCCCCCACCCAGCCCCAACCTGCAGGGCAGCCTCCCAGGGGAGCTAGAGAGGAACACGGATATGCTGCCCCCTGGGGAGGGGCTGGAGGAGCCCACCAGGGGGCCGAGGTCCACCACAGGGCAGTGAACGGAGCTCCAAATAAAGTCTGGGGAGGAGGTGCTGTTGGGCTCGCTTTTTTTTGTTTGTTTTTGTCTTTTCAGTACTGGGGATTGAACCAAGCACCTCTGCACTGAGCTACATCCCTAGCCCTTTATTTACTTATTAATATTATTTTTTAAATTTTGAAGCAGGGTCTTGCTAAGTCACCAAGTTGCCCAGGCTGGGTTCAAACTTTTAATCCTCCTGCCTCCAGTCTCCCAGAGTGCTGGCATGACAGGCAAGGGCCACACTTGGCTAGAGGTTCCTTTTTGGCCCTGCCTCAGGAAGACTGGGGGAGGCCTCTGGGGTGCCCCCAGCCCTGCTCTCAGAGCAGGTCTGGTTTGTTATCTGAAAGTTAGATCTCCATTCCCACAGGCTCAACGATTTAAGTGGTTTTCTAAGGGTGTCAGGCTTCAGGACAGCTGGGCATTGCACCCCAGGGCAGGGAGGGCAGCTGACTTCTAATCTGGGGGGCTGGCCCAGGGCACACCAGGTAGACTGAGACCCATGGAGTCCTGTACCTGCTTGTTACCTGAAGATGAGTGTGGAGCTGCCTGCTGTCCCCAACTCCCCAACCTGGAAAGCAGGGCTGCCAGCCAGAAGTCAAAACCTGCAGCCACTGAGATGGGTTCTTGCCATGTGCTGCTCCAACCCCCCAGTGCCCTGCCAGAGGGGCTCAGGTAGACGGGGAACAGGTTTCAAGGGCTGGGACTCACATTTACGCGAGATCCAGCCCTAGTCCTGCTCACCTCCACACTAGCCCCAAACCTGAGGACAGAACTGGCGCTGTCCCCAAGTCCTTTGTGCTCAAGGTCTGGCCAGCTGAGGTGACACAGGAATAAGGTGGGGCTGGGCCTAAGGTGGGGCCGCAGACTGCAAGGGAAAAGCCCCCAGCACCCCTGCCACACAGCTGAACCTCAAGGAACAAGAGCGCTGTCTCCACCTGGGCCCCGGAAGCCCTGAATCAAAGCATTTCGGCCTGTTCCCATCGGGTGCCCGGAGTGGAAGGGGCTTCCCCCACCCCCAGTTCCCAGCACTCCCTCACGTGGGAAAGGGAGGTCTGGACAGAAGGCTCACCTTGGGGTGAGAAGTGGGGGTGACAGAAACACACAGGAGCGCAGGAAATGGCCACGAGAAAGGTTTCTCGCCCTTAGCTTAGTGTGTGGGTGAAAGTGGGCCTGGCTAGAGGGTGTGTGGAGCTGGGTTTCCGCCCAGGGAGCACCCCGACCTGCACGAGGCCACAGGCATCCACCTAGACACTGTAACATGTACTCGCAGCTGGACTGGAGCCGCCGCCTGGGTAGCGAGTTCCCCTCAGCCCAGTGCCCTTTTCCGCGCACACAGGAGGCAGAGCCAGGCCAACCCCAACCACCTCAGCTGTTTCTCTCACTCAGGCTCCACTGTGGCAGTGAAATGTCAGAAGGTCAGCTCAGTTTCCCTGGCCCACAAGCCAAATTCACTGGCTTGGTAAAGAGCAGCAAGCCAGCCCTTCTCCCCGACGCCTGGCCCCAGCCCCACGAGAACCAGGAGCCACACCAGGCTGCCCCCGCTAGCCTGCACCTGGGTCCCAGCACCCTTGGGGATGTCACAGCCCGACCGCCCACAGGCCTGCCAGGGGCTTCCCCGTCCAGCTTGGGAAAGCACAGGTGGGCAGCGGCAGGGGCGAGGCTGGGAGGAGTCTCAGGGGTTTCCAATCAGGAAACAAAACTGAAAGGACAAACCCAGCCTCCTAGTACATCCATGTCACATGTGAGGCAGGGCAGTTAGGACTCAGTTCTGCTCTGCGGGAAGGAGGGGCAGCCCCAACAAGTGAAATGATTGACAAGGCCGAAAGCAAGCTGGTGTGGCAGCTCCCCGGGCCCAAGTTTCACTTCACTTTGGGCCTCTCCTCCAAACCCCTAGCCTAGGTCTGTGTCCCAACAGCACTCGGTCCCTCAGACCAAGTGGGAGACAGGATGGCAGGAGGAAAAAGGGCTGCCCTAAGCGGTGGCATCCCGAGGGCCTCCAGCAGTCCCTTGCGGCCATCCACCTTGGCTGACCTTCAAGTCAACACACAGCAGGCAGCAGCACACCTCCCTTCCCCGAGGGAAGTTGACGGTGAGGATGGGGGAGATGGACAAGCTGTAGGATGCCCGGATGGGCCTCTGGGCAGCAGCCAATGGGAGGCCTCCAGGCAGAATGGGCAGCTGGCCTTACGGCGGATGAAAATGGCTCCCAACGATGAGTGCTGAGGACTTTCCTGTTAGACTACATGGGTCACAAAGCCAAGAGGTTAACAGCAACCAAATCTGAATCCATCCCTGCCCCACCTGTAGTACCAAATCCCCTGGTACAGATGCCCATCGCCAGAAACATCCAGATCAGCCAAATGGCACTGGGGTCCCCTCCTCTTTCCCTGAGCACAGCACACCCAGACCTCCCACTCACCTTTTCCTAAAGACTCAAGCTTTCCCTACTGTGGTAAATAAAAGCACTGCAAACCAGGGAAGTTAGAAAAGTCTCTTTTAAGTTTTTAAATTGAAGTTTCACCCTCGTGAGATGAGATTTTGATTTAGGAACTCAACCCAAAGGCGAGCTCTTCCAGTCCGTGTCCTCTGACCTTGGACAAAGGGAGAGGCCAGGTGCCTGTGGGACAGGACACTGAAGGGCCCCGGCACCATCACCAGACGGTCTGACCTGACTCAGGCCTAAGAGCCACGCACACCCAGCTGGGGATGGGATCACCATAGCTACAGGGCCACCCAGGGGACATACCGAGCGATGAAGGGCAGCACAGAGGAGGGGGAGACTCCTGGGCACAGAAGTGACGAGGCCAGGCGGCAGGGAGCCCGGTGGGACCCTTCCCGTAGCCCCTGTGGCAGCCCTCCAGGCAGGGACAAGTGGTTGGTCTTCGTTTGCAGGCGACTTCAAGGGATTCTTTCGGCCCTTCCCCTCCGCCCAGCACCCCCAGGTGTGCGGCCCTATTCTCACATACGTTAGTTATATTTATATATATTATAGTTATATATTAAAAAGAAGAAAAAAACTTGCCCAAAGAAAAACTCCTGAGGGACCCAAGTGGCCCACGAAGTTTACTGTTCCCCCACCCACAAAAATTCTTTTATAAAATCTTCCAGTGCGATCTTCAGGAAAACCCTCTCCCGCCCCTGCTCCCCCTCCCTGGCCCTCCTGTGTCCCCACAACCCCAGACTGCCCCCTTCGCTCCAGCCCAGGGCCCGGTGGCATCCAGTCTCATCTCTGGCCGTCCACTGCCGCCATGGCTTTCTGCTGGGCGCCACCCTGCTGTGCTCCGGGGGGCCACGTGGGCTGTGGGCAGTGGAGGCGACGGAAGGAGGTGGGGGAGGAGGGCGGCATCCAGGGCGCCTGGTGGCTGGGTGGGGAGGAGGCCCAGAAGGGGCTGAAGTTTGCAGGGGGGGAGCAGGCCACGGCCGTCATGGGGCTGTTGTTGCTCTGCAGGCCCTCGGAGGTGCGAAGCTTGGAGAACATGGCCAGCGCGTCGGGGAAGTTGGGCGGTGTGGCAGGGGTGTTGCTGGGCGTACACATCTGCGGGGAGAGAGCACAGGTGTGGGGAGGGCTGCCTGCCAGGGCCCTGGGGCCTCTTTACTCCTATTTTTCAGCCCACATAGGCTTCAACAGTACAGACACAGCCCTCTCGTTCAGAACTAATGAAAAACAACGGTAAACTCGCCAAAGTCAAAAAGTGTTGAATGATGCCAGGAAATGACACCAAGGAGTATCAGAATGGTTAATTCCAACCAGAAGCAAAGGTATCAACTGAAAATAAAGACGGTGGGAGCCCAGGATGTCACTGCCAGGGCCCCCACCCCACCTGGCTGCTGACTGAAGCACCCAGATGGCATCACCTGCCCCGATGCCCCCAGGGTATATGGGCCAGAGAAAGTGTTCAGAGGATCTCCCTCTGCACAGCCAAGGAAAAGCTGCACTTCCTCCTTGTGTTGGGGTCATCACAGCCACCAGGCCTTAAGCTCTTGCCTCCACCATCTTCTCAAAAGGAGGCCTAGTGGCCTGAAGTACCCTTTCCATATTATAGGTGAGGAAACAGGCCCAGAGGCCAAGTCATGACTGAAAACACACCCAGAGCAGAATGAAAGTGAGCAGACTGACTTTCCAGGCTCCTTAACCTGTTCCCAGGCCCCCACTCTGCATGGCAGCTCTGGGCTCAGCACCTAAGGTTTCAGATCCCCTTCTGGAGCCTCCAGCCCATGGTGCAGCCTACCCTTAGCCTAGCCTTACCCTTAGCAGCTCTCAGTCCAAAAAGCCCACAGCCTCTTCTACCTCTGCCCAGGGGGCCCCACACGAGGGGCAGGGAACAGGAGGCCCAGATAAGCTGGTTCCCGCCACAAAGCCACTTCTTCCTCTCCCAGGAAGCCATGGGAGCCCTTCTTTGAATTTCTCCTAATTTTAGCAACCTTGCTCCTCCTCCAGGCACAGGGCTGGGGTGGGCAAGACTCTAGGACTTGACCTTGAAGGAGAGCTCTTGGGAGAGGGGAGTCCAGCCCACTTTGATCACTAAGGCTAGGGACAGACACCTCGGCTCCAAGGGAGCTCTGACCACTGTCTTCCGGGGGGGCTCTCAAGAGGCCAAAGGACTCAGCAGAGGCCTGGCCCCACCCAGACATTTCCCTCCTCCTCCCACTGCCTGCCCCGGACAGAGCTGACTTCTCGGCAGCAGGAAACAATGAATGGGGGTTGGGGGATGGGGGTGAAGGCCAATTGCTTCACAGCATGGCATCCGACTTCCCCAGACTTCCCCAGTTCACCAAGCCAGGGTGGCCTCCTCCTCCTCCAACAGCCACCCCCCAAGCCTGCTGGCCAACAGGGCCTGTGCCCGCCTGCCTGGGGAAGCCTGGGCAAGCTCCTGTGCCTTTCCGGAGAGTCTCCCTCCTTTGATAAAACCAAGGGTTGGAACTGGGGATTCTCCACGGCTCCTGCTGCCCTTCTCCCTCGGCCCCTGCAGATCCAACTCTGGACCCTTCCTCATCACCTGGGAAGCGCACAGCAGTCCACGGGACGACCATTTATCAGGTACTCGTGCCTCACGTCACTCCGGGCACTGCCATTTTGTAGTGACCCCAGACCGGCGCTTTTTATTTAACCTTTTCCATTGATTTCTTTTGTCCCAAGAAACTGCCAACTCTGGGAGAAGGGACACCAGGTCTGAGGAAGCACCTAGTACCAGTCAAGCACCTAGTGCCTAGTACCATTCACTGATTATGTCTGTTACAAAACCTGCTGCCTTCCCTGAGGGAAGCTTTCAAAAGGGGACTTCAATCCCCCCACTGGGATTTGCAGACTGGAAAAGAAGAACCAAACAGAATGCCAGTGCTGGCTCTTCCTGTGAGCCCCCGTCCTGGCCTCTCAGAGCAAGAGCAGCGGTGCTGGAGGCCCTGGCTTTTCAGAAGGGCTGAAGCCAGCAGGGAGATACCCCGAGGGTGTTTTGAGGAAGGGATGGAGGCACAGGGCTCCCAGCTTCAGGGAACTAGAAATTCCACAGCTGATGCTGCGGTGGGGTCCCTGGAGATGAACCCCTCCTGGGCTTGCCAGGAGCCAGGCCTTGGCTAGCTCTGCACCAATATTCCTTTATAAGCCAAAGGACATTCTTGTCGGCTTCACATGGGGCATGAGCCCTCCTAAAAGAAAAGCTAGTTTAAAAAGTCCTCTGTGGCTAGATAAAAACAGGGAGCCAAGGACAAGATACAGCGGAGGAACCTATGTGCATGCAGCCAGGGCAAAGACACCCAAGTGTTAAAAATGCCAAAAATGCACCCAGGAAGCCACAGTAATCCCCTGAGGAATAATGTTTTACAATCCCCACTGAGCTCAGCCCCTCCCAGGGCTAATAGGTAACTGGGGGTGGAGGTGGGGGTGGAGAGGCCACCTCCTGGGACTCAAGGAAGCCAAGGGTACCCCCTTGGCCTACAGGGCAAAGGCTGCAGCCCTGGGATAGGTTGGAAATAGAAGAAAACAAATCCAGCCCAGAGCCACTCCAGTTCCCAGGGTTATGCATCTCTTAACAGAGATTAAATGCAAATTCTTGGCCTTATCTCGAGTCAAAAAATCTGTGTGTCCTCCCGGCACAGGGTCTGTTCCCTAGGGCTTTAAAAGGGCCAGCATACAGTTGTGGGCAGAGCCGGCTTCCTGAGCCAAGGTGGATTTATCTCTTCCCTGCTTCCTGCAGCGCAGAGTGCCTGTGTGGAGGGGGAGGGGCCGCACTCACAGCAAGAGGGGCTCCCCATCAACACACAAGTACCCCAAGTCTCAATCTCCTTTCCTAGGGTCTTCATTTGGGCTCCCCAGAAGTCTGGTTACCATCCAAGCCCCCTTCTGGTCCCCTGTTCTTCAGCCATCTCTCCCTCCCCTCACCCCCCAACTCTAGCGCCCCTGACCCCGGCCCCCAAAGCGAAGCTCGGGAGAGCCCAAGGTCTCGGGCCCAGACCCGAAGTTGGACTAGCCGGCTCCGGCCGGGAGCGCTCTTTCCTGGAAGACATTTTGGCTCTTTGTTTACATTCGCGGCGAGGCGCTCCCCGGCAACATGGCTGTCACCGCCGCGGGTGACAGCGGCCCGGCCCGGCCCTTGTCACAACCTCGGGTCTCTCGGTGGACTATGCTCCGGGGGGGTCCGGCCGCCGGGGGAGGCTCGCTGCCCGCTGCCCGTCGAAGGGTGAGAGGCCCGGGATCCTGTCCGCGCTCTCCCAGCGACACTTACCATCTGGGGGTGGTGGTGACTGTTGGGAATGTTGGTTTCTTGGAAAAACGTGCTCAGGGCGGTCTGCGGACAAACGCGGGCGAAGCGGCGTCAGCGGAGCCGGGCTAGGGGAGCAGGAAGCCCCCAGCTGGCCTCTGCGACCCAGGACCACACAGACAGAGCCTCCC